CCGTGAGACACAAATTTGTGTCTCGTTCACACCCACGTGGGTGTGGCCCCCACAAGACCCCACATGTTCATAATTTTTTAACTCGTACATCATTTGATAAACCTCAAATTTTGGATGAACACTAAAAGAATACCGCGAACATAAAACTAGGCCAAACAAGCTACGTTACTTTACCACGGCTGTCTACGTACCCTCCATCGGGATCAGACTAACCGTAGTTCAGAATTTATTCGTCATATGGTCTCTACCTCACCCCATCACCGTCCCGAAAGGCCATGCCCTCTTGGACAGATCAACACAGGCTGATATGAAGCAAGTCCAAGCAATGCTTAAACTTGCTACCTATGACCATCTTGGTTAACATCTCCGTGGGATTCTCATTCGTATGCACCTTCATGAGAGAAATATCGCTTTCCTCTATGACATCCCGCACGAAATGATACCGGACATCGATATGCTTGGTACAAGCATGATGAACTTGATTCTTCACCAAGTGAATCGTACTCTGACTGTCGCACCACAAGTTCACGTTCTTCTGCTCAATCCTTAAATCGTCTAGAAGATCCCACAACCACAATGCTTCCTTCACTTCCTCTGTCATGGCTATGTACTCATTCTCTGTAGTAGAGAGTGTCACTGTAGCCTGTAACATCAATCGTCAACTAACTGGAGCTCTATGTATCTTAAACACATAACCACTAGTAGATCGTCGTCTATCTAAATCGTCCGTATAATTTGAGTCTACAAATGCATCAATCTGACACGTATCTCCACCAAAACACAGACCCATATCAACGCTACCCTTTAAGTACCTTAGGACCCACATCACTGCTTCCTAGTACGTCTTTTTCGGATTCGCCATGAATCTACTAACCACACTGACCGTTTGTGAAATATCTAGGTGTGTACGCACCATTGCATACATCAAGCTGTCAACTGCACTAGCATAAGATACACGTTCCATGTGTGCATTTTCTTTCGCTGTAGTGAGAGATTGTTTACCTGAAAGCCTGAAGTGTGGAGCCAATGGAGTCACCACCGACTTAGCACTTTGCATCCCGAATCTCGCGATCACCCGCTCTATGTAGCCCTTCTGACCCAAGAACAATCGCCGATTCGCCCACTCTTTTCTAATATCCATACTCAGTATTTTTCTTGCAGCGTCCATGTCTTTCATCTCGAATTCTTTACCAAGTTAAGATTTTAGCCTATCTATCTCCACCTTGCTCTTCGAAGCAATAAGCATGTCATCCACATACAAAAGAAGATAGATATAATCACCTCCACGAAGCTTTCGAATATAAACATAACAATCGTAATCGCTTCGGGAAATCCATGCTTCAACATGAAGGAGTCAAATCGTTTGTACCACTGTCGGGGAGATTGTTTCAGTCTATAGAGTGATTTTCTCAAGCGACACACATGATTCTCCTTATCCTCAACCTTGTAGCCCTCAGGTTGATGCATGTAGATCTTTTCATCCAAGTCTCCGTACAAGAAGGTTGTTTTTACATCGAGCTGTTCTAGCTCAAGATCACCATGAGAAACAATACTCAATAGCACCTGAATAGAAGTGTGTTTCACCACCGGAGGAAATATTTTATTATAATCCACACCCTCTCTTTGTGCAAACTATTTAGCCACTAGCCTCGCCTTGTACCTTGTACCACTGAGTTCTGAAGGATCTTCCTTTCTCTTATACATCCACTTACAACCAATAGTTTTTTTCCTACGGGTAATGAGATCACCTCTCATGTTTGGTTCTTCCGAAGAGATTCCATCTCCTCCTTCATTCCAGCTAATTAACTCTCACTATCCTTGTCCCGAATAGCTTCATTGAAGGAGATCGGCTCATCTTTCTCTACCGAGAGTACGTATTCTATCAAATTAACCTACCTATAGTGCTTCAGGGATTGATTAGCCTACAGCTTCAGTACTTGCTTGTATGCTCGCTTTGGCCTAGTAGAAACCAAACTATCCTCAAGCTGTTGTTGTTGTAGTGCTTGTGTATTCGCTGAATCTTCTCCTGCTCAAGCTCATCATCTACCTGATTTCCCATTTGAACATGACTAGAACCTGGTTGCTCTTTAGGTTCTATTTTAATAACTTGGGACTTTGAAGTCCCAACAGTCCCAACACCATCATCCTTGGGCGTCTTAGCAATCAAGGATTTTTAACATCTCTGCTGATCACGAACTTCGAATTTTCTATACACCAAAGATGATAGCATTTTACACCTTTTGCATATCCCAAGAATATGATCTTCTTGGCCATCGCGTCAAGCTTTCTCTCGTTGACGTGATAATAGACGTTACATCCAAAAATCCGGAGCCTCTCATAATCTGCATGCTCCCCTGACCACACCCTATAGGGTGTATCACCATCCAATATAGAATGTGAATAACGGTTCACAATATAACAAGTTGTAGCCACCGTTTCTGCCCACCATTTCTTGCCCAATCCAGCATAAGATCGCATACTCATTTTTTTCTCTCGTAATGTTCGGTTTAGTCTTTTCGCGATCCCATTCTGCTGTGGTGTAGATCTGACTGTCCAGTGTCTAGTAATGCCCTTCTGATCACAGAACTTCTTAAAAGCACCATATGTATACTCTGTACCGTTGTCAGATCTTAATGTTTTTAATTTCTTCCCTGTCCTATTCTCAACCATCGTCTTTTACTTCTTAAATGTCTCAAACACCTCATTCTTATGCTTCAGAAAGTAAATCCAAGCATACCTAGAATAGTCATCTATGAACGAGACAAAGTATCTGGAATCACCATTAGAAGTTGTCTGAGTCAGACCCCAAACATCCGTGTATACATAATCTAATATACCTTTACTCTTGTGCTTGCTTTTCAAGAACTGGATCCTGTGCGTCTTTCCATATACATAATCCTGCAAGGCTTCTTCAGATTTTTCAGCAAACTCTCCTTACCAAGCAGATCCAGACCCTTCTCTGACATGTGTCCAAACCGCCTATATCATAATCGTATGTGCTCACATGGGTCTCCACCACTTCCTTCAGTTCCAACCGCTGCATCTCCCGTCACCGTCGTACCTGAGAGAGTATATAAATTATCCTGACGAACACCCTTCATTACTATAAGGGAACCCCGAACAACCTTCTTCACTCTGTTCTCTGTAACAATCCTGTAATCATCGGAGTCTAATGTACCAACTGATATAAGATTCTTTCGTAAGTCGGGAACGTGTCTCACATCCGTCAAGGTTCGGACCATTCCATCATGCATCTTGATCTTGATATTACCTAACCCTACCATTTTACAAGCATAGTTATTTTCCATCAATACGGTTTTACCATCAATGCTTCTGTATATAGTAAACAACTTCCTATTTGGACACATGTGGTAAGAGCAACCTGAATCAAGAATCCACTTCTCAGAGATATCCTCGTCACCCGTGACGACATAGCATTCCTTCTCGCTCCCTTCCTATGAAACATAGCTCGTTTCTTCCTTGTCTTCTCTCATCTCAGTCTTGTTGTTGTTCTTCGTCCTACCTACTCTCTTATTTGGACAGTTGACCTTGAAATGTCCAACTTCATTGCATTTGAAACACGATCTTCCCGCAAGAGGTCTTGATTTAAATTTAGACTTTCCTCTCTCGTCTTTTCCTCACTCATTACTCCTTCCTCTAGCAAACAATCCTTACGTTTGTTCTTTGCTATCACCAGTAGTCATGTCATTTGTTATAATCTTTCGAAGATTATCCGCTAGAAGTGCCATTCTAGTCTCACCCATTGTCAAATTATCTTCCACAAGCATCAGTGTTTGCACCAGGTTATCATAAGTCTTCGGCAGAGATAGAAGTAGAAACACCTGATCATCGTCTTCAACTGTCACGTCTATATCCTTTAAGTCTGATATGATACTATCAAACTTGTTGATGTATTTCTGGATTGATGAGCCCTCTTCGATCTTGTAAGTATACAATTTGGATTTTAAATAGATCCGGTTCGTTAGACTCTTCGTCATGATTGTGCTTTCTAACTTCGACCACACGTTCGTAGTCGTTTCCTCTCCATCTACCAAGAAAGCTACATCCATTTCAAGGCAAAGGATAATCGACGCCCGTGCTTTCAGATCCAACTCCTCCCAATCCTCATCAGACATATCCTTATACTTCTTCTCTTTTCCAGCCAAAGCCTTATGCAATTTTTACGAAATCAACGAGTTTTTAATCTGCATCCTTCAATAGGAAAAAATCGTTTTTCCCATTGAACTTTTCGATCTCGTACTTTCCAACTTTAACTGTTTTGCTAGTTTGACGCCATCCTCCGTTTGTATTAATAAATCCGATTCTCTTAGGAAATTACCGAGCACCACCTCAAACCAGAAGCTACACCACTCTTAATCTGAATAACAACTCTGATACCAATTGTTGGGCGCAAAGTTACGCCCATACGCCGCGGAAGCGATATAACCCGAGAGAAAGCCCTGACTTTTGTTGTCACAAAAGCTCAAACCAACCTCTATATTCCCGTTTCACAAAGGAAACAAGAACAAAAAAAATGAAATATCTCAACAAAATAAAATATACATTCTTCCTCTCATCAGTTCTAGGACTGACTTGTCGAGGGAACCTACAAGCAATAGTAAACACACAATAAAACAGTAAAGACACGCGATTACGTGGTTCAGCAAACTTGCCTATGTCCACGGGAGGGGTGAGGGGAGATTCCATTATGAGGAGAACACTGACGACTTGTACAATCCACAAGCTCGTCTCAAAGAAAAAACAAAGATTTGATTTTTACCCAAAAAGAAATTGACATCTCTCTTGTAAATCTCTCCTCAAGATCTAAGTTTTCCCTCAGATCTAAGTCTCCTAAACTCTCTGTTTATCACCTCACTGCAGCCGAAAAACAAAGCCCTTCCTTTGCGTTTTTCCCCACACAAAACCCTAGGAAGAAAACGCGTTGGTATTTATAGGAGAACGCGTTTTCTTGGGTGGACTACACTGGGCTCCGCATTCGTGATGCGCCCAAGAACCCCACGTGAGTGTGGCGGCC